GCTGTTTGTTTTCATTTGTTTGCCCGAAATGTGAAATTTTGTAGCCAGGAAATGCGCAAAATGAAAAATTTGGAAATGTTTTTGTTTCGCTTTAAATAGATCGCAATAAATCCACGACAAAAGATACATAGACGTGTGTGTCTGGAGCCCATTAAAAAGCTCATTAAAGAGAATGTTAATTGTTCTTTGTGTCTTCTGTTGTAGAGTGAAACATTTGCGGCGTGTTTCAGATATCTCAAGAGATTTATTTGGAATACTTTGTGTTCTAAACAAGAAATGAGTACAGGTTTTTTCTAGTGGCCGCAAAATGTTGTCTACTTTTCTGCAGCAAAATGATACATTTTGTAGTTCATTTTTGTTTGACAAAAAATCTCAAATTTTAAGTTTAATTATGATTGTAATGTGTTTAACTTAGAAATGTTAATTTAGTTGATTTTTGTTTAAGTTAAAAGATATTAATAAATTAGGGGAAACAAAATTAGCATACTAGCCTTGTATAACATTAGGAAATGAAAAATATTAATATGCAGCTTGGATTAGAATTTGAGGGCAATTTCAATTTGGTTTCAAAGAAATTCAAGTCTTCTTATTTCATAACTTTAATTCAAAAAGCGCGCCATGACACATTGAGTTAGGTGGCAGCTCTGGCAAAAGTTTGCGAGAGAGCCCTCTCTCTCTTTCTCGCTCTCCCGCTCCTGCAAACATTCGTGCGTGTGAACGCCTGCGTGTGTATGTGTGTGTTGTATCTTTTACTTTTTAGCAGCGTGAAACTCAAACAGTCAGTTTCAGTTGAGTTTTTCAGTTTAGGCAGCAACAACGCAAAAGTCCGAGAGCCTCCAAAAAGAGCGCCCATCTCACACTCAAAAAGCACAAAACCCCAATACGAAACGAAAGGAAATTACGCGCTCATCAATCGTTGCTGCTGCTCCTTCCCGCTCTTCGTGTGTTGTATACTTTTGCAAAAAGGATCTGAAGAGAGCAAGTGCAAAACGCGCGTAGTATTTTTTAAAGTGCGTTTAAAACATGAAACAAATGTATTAAGTTAAAAAAAGTGCAAAAGGCCAAAAAAGAGAGGGAACAACTACAGTTAACTGCGTGAGAGCAAGAGAGCGGAAAAAGAGAGCCAAAAAGCAAGTGCAAGTGGTTGAAACAACAAAAAAAAACACAAAAAACATTTGAATTAAATAGCAAAATGGCAAAAACAATGTGAAAGTAATTCCTGCTATTTGGTTCACAAACACTCAAGTATTTAAACATTAGTAGTACACTTGTAATTGTTGTTGTAGTTGCGCGCAGTGAGTTCATCGCAAAAAATAATACACACACATACGAGCAGAGATAGAGAGAGATGGAGAAAAAAGACAACGCCCCCTCTCCCTCACACGTACACTTGAATAAAAGTCTTAAAATTAAATAAAAATTCGGACAGTTAAAAATATTGAAATTAAAATGATATTAATATTTATTGATTCTCTGCTGAAAAAAAGGGGATGTACTAAATAAACAGCTACCCAATAAATTTCCTTATATTTTGTAATTCACAAAATAATTTTAATAAAAAAAAAATATATAAAAAAATTCGTTTAAATAAAAATGTCGATTTAACATTTTCTAATAAGAAATTTAAATACTGGTTAAAAATGAAAAGACCTATTCTATTATTCCTCGGATATTAACCATAAAAACTTTTCTTTGTGTGTATCCCACTGAACGCAATTAAAATAAATGTGCGCTGGTGTGTGTGCGTGTTAAAATAGCACCTTGTTTGTACATAAATTAGCCTTAGTCGCTGTTATTTATACTATATAGCAATATGCATTATACAATATATGCACATCGGTTGCGCCAGTGTACACCTATATATTGAAATTATAACAACAAATCAACGCCGCACTGCAGTTGCCCTCTCTTTTCCCCTCTTTCTCATCTTCCTACTCTCTGTTTTCGCTTTTCAAGTGCAAAAACGAATTTTCCGCTATTCGTTTGTGTGTGTGTGTTTTTTTGTGTTTGCGGGTGGGGTCGCATAATTTGTTAAATTAATTTTCACTCTCCCTCTCGCACTTTATCCCCCTCCCCCTATAGTTTTTCTTCTTCTTGGCCCGTGACGTAGTCCCTCGCGTGTGTGCCCCAAAAACAAAAGCAAAAAACCAAAACTAATTGAAAAGCCGCTGCGCAGCCGGCGTCGCAGTCGAGAAGCAGTGTTGCCATCAACTCGTTTCAAAGACAAAAAAAAGAATAAGCTAAAATTAAGCTTTTTAAAGATGCTAAATCATAAACATAAACATATGATTAAAGTGCATTTTTTTATGTTTTATTTAACAAGTTCCATATGTTTTGAACAAAACACAACAAAGTGCAAAGTATTTATAAAAACATAAAGCTGCCAACTGTTCTTTTCAAGAATTAATCTTAAAGAACTTAGTATTTAAACCACAAGCAAAGTATGGTTAAAACAGGATACTTATCTGTAGCCGTTTGTTTAGCGATGAAACTTTAAGTCTTTTTTGGATAAAAAACACCTGCTAATTTGTACTTTAAATATAGCTTTTTTGTAGCCATTTAAAGACCAAATCGACAGAACCACAAAAGATCGTTGGTGGCAAGCATAATTAATGCGCTCATCTTCGAGTTCGCTTTTCCCCAGCTGATGCTGCTTCTTCTGCTTCTGTTTCCCATTTACAGTTCATGTTCCCCTCCTCCTCTTCCTCTCTTCTCCTCTTCTCCATTATCCACTTCATACTCCAATCTTGTACATCAAAGTAATAGCAACAAGTTTTTCCCATATTTTTCAGTTCTTTAATTTGCTGGGGCACTTAAAGTCGCGTTTATGAGTTAGTGTTATATCTTTAAACTTTTTCTACTTGTACTTAACAAGCTTTGTTCAGGGGAAAAAAACCTTTAATAATTGTCTGGTCCAAAAGAAGCTGAGTATCATTTTTTTATTTGCCTAAAACTTGTTTTTTCGAGCTTGTAACTCGTGTTTTGTTGATGGTCTTGTTCTTGTTCCAGTTGCTACAGGTCACGCTCGATACCGAAAACTAAACAAAAGCAAGGGTATTTACTCTGTAGATTTAATAGATAGAAAGTTAACAGAGCTTAGTTATTTTTCATGAGAAAATGTTTTTTTAATATATTTTCTTTATTTTATCCCCTATTATCAGTAATCGATTTAAAAATTGTAAAGTATCTCTTATTTATGATTCAAACAAATAAAAGTTGCAAAGAGATCTCAAGTATTTTTTTTAATTAAATGGAAAATCTAATAAATAACTATTATTCTTACTAGTAGTGCAATACTTATAAAACGAAAGGCATTACTGACATTAGTTAACTCCTCAGAGCGTGCACAGTATCATTTTTTTCCATATCAATTTCGGCACATGACGTAATCTTCACATGTTCAACACCAACAAAAAGAAAAAAAAAACTACGAATAACAACAACAAGCACATTGAGTTATGAAGTGTATTTGAAATGTAAACAGATAAAAAGCTGTGTTGGGGGAGGTGGGGGACTTTATATAGTGAACGGGTTGTCTGATTCGATTGTAGGCTGTTTATTTTTTCGCTACTTCTTCTGGTTCTCAGTTTTCGACAGGTTTCTTTAATGGTTTTCCCACTGGGGTTCAAAGTTCTGGGACAATAAAAAGGCTAGAAAGATGTAGATGTTGGGAAGTGAATGTCCCATGGGCCATTGGATTGCCGAGATTGAGATCTTACAAGTTAAATCTCCCATTCCCATTTCCATTCCATGCCGCCAGTGCCAGTTCCCCTTTTGGTTCGTACAGTGCGTTTCGGCTCAGTAAATCTCCGGCTTTTCGCACAACCAACCAGCCATAAATGAAGTCATCGACATAAACCAGTTATAAAGATAAAAAAGTAAACCCGTCCAGCAATGTGTGCCATAAAACTAAATTTATATTCTGAATTGATTTGTCAAATTGCTGGTTTTAAAAAAGTACAAAATAAAAAGAAATGAATAAAATAATAAATCAAATTAAAAGTACATTGGGAAACAGTATAAGTACAGCACATAAAATATTCATTGGCTTTACTAAACAATTTGTGAATAGTTTCTTCATTTTGGAAGAATATATAGACTTTGGAAAGGACCTTCCTTTCAAAAGGCAAATTAAATATCAGTAGGGAAATAAGTGCAAATATAATTGAATTTGTAATTTATTTGAGTAAATTCACACCACCTTCTAAATTCAAACATTCCAAAATTAGTTAAGAACTATCAACAACTTACAAAATATTTATATTTCTGGATTAAACAAACTTCCAAAATGTTTTATAAATGGAAATCAGTCTGAGAATAACGCATTGTATTTCTGGAACACAAACATTCTCAAAATGGGTTTCAAAAATTTCTTCGCAAAGGGAAGCTAATCCTAAAATAACGTCAAAGATCCCCAAAACTGGAACACTTCCCCTTGTGTCGATGTGTGAAATTATTTTCGAAGCTTTCAATTTAATTTGCTTGATCCAGGGACCTTTCAAAATTATGTAAGTGTTAGAAATCAGATTTCATTTGATTTTGGTTGCTAGCAACATGGAACACAGACCGGAAGATCATTTAGAGGAGGATTTTTGGAAGAGGAACCCTATTTCGGACGCAGATAAAAACAGGATTGAATCGTAAACGAGCTTTCATTTCTATTCCATTTAAGAATTTCCATTGACCGGGCCAAATCGAGGGAAATTTAACAGCGCTGACACATTCAATCAATTGAATCAGATGTTTAGCTGAAAGCCAATTGGCAAATGACTTAATTTAATTGACATTGAGGTGGCTCCTCAGTAGATGACGCACTTGCTCAGCTATTTTAAGGTCACATGCGCCGATGCGTGATTTTGGTGCTTGTGTTCGGTTCATCCCCCGCCCCCTCGATATAAAACAAATACACACTGCACCTTATAATATAACATACATATATATGTATATATACTACATGGCAATTCTCTAATTCGATTTGTGTTTGCTCTGCTCGTTTCCAGATCGGAGCGCTCGATAGTGCGCGTTTCCATTTACCAAAGCAGCCAGCCGCAGCAGATCTGTCCACCGGCGGATTACCTGCTGGACGCCCTAGACGGAGGCTATAACTACAACTGCAACCTCGACTACACGACGATGGCCACGACGGCGGCGGGGATCCAGCAGCAGCAGCAGGTGATTGGCCTGGGAGCGGCCTATGATCGACAGCAGAGGTGGGTACTGGTGTGCGCTATATACATATGTATGTTTTGTAAATCGTGACCAATTCATCTGCATTATCCTGCAGCACCGACTCCGGCTGGGATAATCCCTTTCGTCCAGGCGGCGACCTGTCCAGAGAGGCTGATGAAATTGTCAACATGATCAGAGGTGAGTTTGAGATCGATACATCGAATCTACAGCTTCCGTGCAGTGGGTGGGTATTTTTAAGAAGCAGTTCTATGGCACATTCTGAAAAAATGGTCATTTTTGAATTTTGCATAAAAAGTCTATGAGTCTTAGATCTAATTTAAATGGGAAACATATATATATATATTGTGGGCTTAATTTAAACATGTACTATTAAAAACGCAATTTTTCTGCTGACCATGAGTGTCAAATAATCCCTATATGCTGGAATTTTTTCGTCATAAAAAACAAAATAAAGTTAAAAATCTTTGTCCAAAAATATCACGTTACGTTCGGAAGATAAGTGATGCTTAGGAAAAAATTGTGCTGAACAAAAAACCAAAAGGATCATAAAAAACATACTAACTTTAGCAAGTAAATATATATATAAAGCATATTTAATAAGAGAAATGAACTAATTTCAAAGTTATTAGTTGGTTAATAATTGTCGATAATACTATCGAAATACAATTGCGTAGATTTCGTTATATTACCCAACCTTTATCAGAAATAGATTTTTGTAATAGTAAGTGAAAGGCTTTAGGTGATTATAAATAATTTTTTTTTTATTTGACAAGATCAAGTTTAAGTGATATAACTTTTTTTGTTGATTGAGTAATATGCTGTGTTTACACAGCTGTTTCACCTGTTATTATAAGCCGATGTTCTGGCCATGGTATACATGGTATTTCTACCGACTTCAACCGATTATAACCGAGTATCTTTTCTTTTCAAATAGGCGGCAAGCCCATCACACCCACAGAGGAGCGTACAATTGGCAACGGAAGCGCCCAGCATGCGGACGACAATTGCAACGGCGGAGCGGCGATTGGCGAGAGTGTAACCAAATCAAATGTGAGTATCGATCACTGGGTCGGGTCTTTCTATATATAGAGGATGCACCGTCTAATTAAATGTCTTGTGTCTTAAAAACAGATCTCGCAGAATCTAGCAACAGCACAAAATGGTACAAATTCCCATGCCTCTGCCTCTGCCGACGCTGGCGCCGGAAAAGCAGCGACGGCGACCGAGCTGAGCGGCGGCGGAAACAACGGGGTCACCTCGCTGGGACAGGTGTCCAAACAGGTGGTTCCGGGACCGACGTCCGCTAGTCATGTGGTCATCGACGAGAAGAAGAACAAGAAGAAGGGCTGCTGCGTCCTGCAATAATTGGATATTCTGTGTTCTGTTCGCGGGGAAATCGATAATCGACGGGGGACAAACAAATCGGAGGGGGGCGCGGGCATTTTCCGGCTAGCCGTGTTTTTTGATGTTAATGTTTTTTTTTTTTTTTTGGGGAAAATGGAAAGGAGCCGAGCTGTTGATATTTTTCATGCCGCATAAATCGCTTTGCTTCTAGCTTTGCAATACGAGACGACAACAACAACAAGAACAAGAACAACAAACCAGATAAAAACACACAAGGATAAACTAGAAAAACGTAAACAAAAACCAAGCTCTCTGACCAACAGCAGCAGATAAGTAAGAAAACATAAAGAGGAGAATAGCAGCAGCAGCAGCAGCAGCCACAGTGAGAGCCAAAATTTAAGCACCCCCAGCAGCTGTTGCTTCAGCTTCAAAGAAGAAAAACCGTCAAAATCCAAAACATGAATTGTAAATCTAAAGTATACACACTTATATATATTTATATATATTTGTTAGTCTGGAGCCGATGCTAACTGCAATTCAACCTTATTATATATACAGACAATTTTTTTTTCTTTTTCTGTAATGTGACTCGACCTGCATATATGTTATATTAAAACATATATGTGAATTTAATTTTTTTTTTTGTAATTGTAAAATTTAGTGCGGCTTATTAAAAATTGAAGAGGATGTAGGGACGTTCAAAATTAAAAACAAAAAGAACAACAAAAAAATGAAATAAATAAAAACGAAAAACGTTTTGCTTGCATGCAAATAATGGATACAAAATCGAAAAAAAAAGAAAGCAAAAAAAATTTAACATAAAGAATAATGTATTTATTTTTATTTATATGACGATGACGAAAGCAGATGAAAGTAAATTAAATGTTAAACCTTAAAACAAATATACACACATACACTTACATATACAAAACACACACACACACACATACGCATATATACTATACGATATATGAGATGAAATGTATGACGCAATAAAGCAAACGAAATGAACCGGAAACAGTAGAGAAAAGTAATTAAAGAAATCCCAAAATTTTCTAAGGCTAAAAAAGTGAACAATTATTTTTTATCATTATATACATGAGACAGAAAATTTAAAAAAAAAGCCGGGTGCGCTGATTTTTGGGGCCCACTGTAGCGGTTGATCAAAGACGAGCGGTGCTGAAAAAAGCGGGTGAAAATGGTAGAAAGAGGGCTTAGTTCTTTGAGTAGAAAGAAAATGGCTTTGAAGAAACCGAAATCCCAAGACAGAAGCTTAGAAATGAGGCCAGAGAAAGTATATAAATAAAAAAAAATGGAAGAACCACCGTTTTTCAGCTTAGTTAAGCACAATACAACCCCCTATGCAACACCACCCACACACCACCCATTCTCCAACCCCCTTCACTCAGTATTTTTCTCAGTTGAAAACAAATCAAAAGCAGAGAAATAGAGGCAAACAAATATATGCAAAAATAATGTGCAGGTAAATCGAGCAAAGCGAGGTACAAGAATGTTTACACAGAGAGAAAAAGCAGCAACCAAATAGCAAAGAACGTAAAGAGAACACCGAAATGGACCGCCACACCCACAAATGACACACTCACACACTCTCAAACACACAACAACACCCACACTCACACACCTAACAGCCTAAGCATCAATGTGCTGCATTTGATAAACGTAATGAAAAAAATAAATTAAATATATATATACACAGATATATGAAATAGCAATATTGTTTCAACTGAAAATAAGCAAATCAACAAAAGGGAAATTCCAAATCCGAAAATAGAAACAAAAAAAAAAAACAAATCAGCAAACTAAATCAATTTGTCGAAAAGAAGGAGGATAAAAACAGCAGAGCCAGTACAGCAATAAAATCAATATTTAATATTGTAAATTTCCGATTCCAAAAAGAAAGCAAAACCTATAAAAAAAAACCAACAAAATGTTAAGTTATTGTATAAAAAAATCCTAAATAAAAAATGAAAGCAAAAATAAAACGAAATATATATTATTTTAGCATAACTTTTGGGGCTGCAAAGGCAAAGCCCACTTTTAGGCTTTATTATTATTAATAATTCAAATGTATATGTGTAAGAAATATTCGCGTGGGATCCAGGGAATGAAAGAGATAGCATGGCTATTGATTGATGAATGCTTTTAGTTCATTCGATCGACGGATAATTGATTGCAATTGTTTAAGGCAAACAAATCGCTTAATGCTTCCGCATCGTCCAAATTAAGTATTCCAATCGATGAACAGCAGAACGAGGAACTGCCGCAGAACCTTTCACCTCATCGGCTCCGATCCATTCAATTAGGCAAAACAAATCTGTAGAAATCGAAATCGTTGCTAGTTAATTAATCCCATGACGCAACTGCATAATAAAATTACCAATGTGCGATTTTGGGCGTATTGAAATTGTGGATGCTCTTTTGTTTGTTATTGGCGCGAGTGAAGCTTGGTCAATTTGGGCATTTGTGTTAAATTTCTCTTTGTTTTATATCCATTATTTGAAATATTGACTAAATTTAAATTGGCAAACACTTTATATACTCATTACAAAACATATAAATGGAAACTATTTTTCCTCTTCTTAAGTAAACATAATATTATTATTAATATTTGTATTATTTCAACTTATAAGAATAATCTTTTTACCAAAGAATATTTTATTTATAAAAATCAGTAAATTTAATTGTTTTGGACAATAGATATTATTCATTAAATTATCAATTTAATAAACTTACGTTTAAATACGTTTTCCAATTCGAAACGGGATTAAAAAAATATAACAGTAAGCGGCTTGAGTGCTTAACATTTAAAAAGCGATTTAATTAATGAAAAAAGTTGTAAATTGTAAGACCTCATAAGAATTTAGCCTAACTTAAATTTTATCAACCTAGCCATTTTTAATTTTAGAAACCAAAACTTAAGGTTAAAATTGTAGTAAAATCTACTACATACACACAAAATTATAGACTTAAATTCTTTAAAACATAAATATGACAAGGGATAACAGATTCTTTTAATGTTTATATTCAAATCGAATGCCTCGATAAACATAGTAAAAACATGTTAATATTTGTTGTCCTTCTAAACTTTCTTTATAAAATACAAAACTTAATGAGTTATTCAGATGTTTACTATAGACTAATGGCAAGTATAAATATCATGAACTCAATATTTATTTCATAATTTTATTGGTTTCTACATTTTGAAATAATCCGGGTAGGGTCAACGATTTCCCAAGCTAACTAGCAAGTTTTGAAGTCTCCCACGTCACGCAGTTTTTGAAGATGAAAAACCAGAATTGGTTTTTGTTCTTCTATTTTTTTGTTTTTTGAATCAATTTGAAGTTGATTTTATTTATGAACTCTACTCGAAAAGACATTTATAGCAATTTATCTGGATTTGGTTTATGGCTTTTCGCTTTCGGCTTTCGGCCATTCCGATTCCGATTCACATTCGCATTCGGATTCCAATGGAAGATTAATTGGCAACCGCAGAGCTGTCAATTTTTAAATTGTTGCGCCTAAGTAAGCGGAAATGTCTCTGCCTCTCGATCACGATTTCATCGAATTTGGATTGGATTTGGATATTTGGATATTTGGGTATTTGGATATCGATGATGTCGCCGTGTGATGCGCGTATAGTATAGTGATGGTGATGGTCGTGGTGCTACCCAATGGCACCCACTCAGAAATGGAGAAGGGGAACTGGATTTTGGCCATCTATCTAATGAAAGTCAGTCATCGTTAATGGGCAAACGTGTTTTCTTCTCTATGGGCATATGGCCTGACACCCACAGTGGCGTTGATAAGTCTGTGGACCTCTTAAAATCTAATTCGACATAGGATTTCGGGTGTAAGCTTCTCATATGAGTTTCATGACATTTTAAGTTTAACATATTTATTTTATTAAGTTTTAAGCTCAAATAAATACGTTAATTTAGCTATGAGTAAAGTAATAACAATTCGAACTCAATTTATTGTTAAATTTATAAAAGTGACTGTTTTACAATCTAAAGCACATTAATTTATGTTACTAATTCATAGACGCAAACTTTTTATTAGTACTGTGAATTCAAGTCTTCTTCTTAGAAATAAGCCTCCACACTCCCCTCGGCCACCCAATAAACGCACCTAATTTGCGAGTGCGATTCTCGTGCAGGTGCAAATTATGATGGGACACAAAAAACCAAAAAAGAAAAACAACAAAAGCAAGAATAATTTATGACAAAAAAGTGGGATATAAGCTAAATAAGCTAAAGAAGAAGCGGCAGCCACTGGCGCTGTTACTGTGGGTCATTAAAAATGCGACATGTGTAAGGCACAAGCGGCAAAAAGTCGCGACGCTGGAGATAAAGATAAAAATCGGTTAGTTAGGCAATGGCACATCGGTCAACAAAAACAAAAAAAAACGACTATCGAAAAAAAAGCTGCGCATGCGCCGCACGCGTCTCCACACAAATACACACAGATGAACGCTTACGTATACGTAATATTGTTTACTCTATACGTATACGTAATATTGGCGCATGTATGTTTAACTGTACAAACGCGCACGCGCTGCTGCTCTCATACTGCCCCGCTCCCTCTCACTGCACGGAGTTGGCCACGATTCAGCTACTTCTTAGCTGGTTTTAGCCACTTCATGGCTAAATTAAAAACTTTAAAAAGTTGTTTATGTGTAAGAATTAATTCAAAGCCGTTAAAATTAATTAAAAGCCAATTAAAACCAATTTCTATACGATTTGTAAAGTTAACAAAAAGTAACTTATTAAAAATATTGGCATACATTACATTTGATTTTGATATATAGTACATCAACTGGTGAAATACCTTTATTATTTAAATATGTATTTACACTTTATATATAATTATAATATTATAATAAATAAATAGCATTTGACTATAGCTCAAAACCCACAGCTGTTCAGGTCTAAAACGATAAGTAATGATACAAATATATATATCTTTTTTTTCACTTTCTTTCAGGTGATTCTTAGCTGCCCAGATTTTGGCAGCACTGGCGTCGTTCGATTGAGTCGCCGTTGACTGTGTGTTCATAATGTTTGTGCGATGGAGTCGCGCTGTCTGCGCTGTAAGCGTTTGGAAGTAGAGCAAGTGTCTTCGCCGCCGCGTCTCGATTTTCTCACTTCACGGAGCGTCGTCGACTGGATGATAACGGCAGAGCTATCGATCGATCAGAAGATGTGCCATGCCATTGGGTGATTTTATTCGAATCCATATAGCCCGAAGACGAAGACGAAGATCTCCCATTTCCCTTTGTCGTTTGTTATTTTATTCCCTGGATTTCTTGATTTATGCACGATTGGGACTGAATGATCGATTCGTCTTTCAACTTAATTGAAAGCTTGGGCAGTTGGCTGATCATTAAGCAATTTAAGAACTTGTTGATTTAGAGATTGAGGCAATAAATGATTGATTGCGAAAATACATAATATGGCCAGCAGGATGGAGGAGACCAAAACTGTGATATCAACTTTAAAAACAATGTAAGCGGAATAATCTTTGGAACTATAATATGGAATAAAATATTTTACGAATATAAGAAAATGTAAAATAATCTCTAATAACTTAACCAAATAATAAAAACCTATTAACCGCAATAAAATAAAATAAAA